GTCGTCTCCTCTTGCGGCCTAATTTGACTCTACAGCGCCCCTACATTTCCGTATTCAACATCCTATCTCCGCTTAGAGGAGCCTAGAGACTAAATATGCCGCAATTCACTTCATTTTTTGCAATTTAGGATAGACCATAAATGCATATCTCCCGTCCCCTGAGCAGTATTTTCGGTCTGGACCCAGCAGCCATCTTCAGTCCTAATGCGAAACATGACTCCTGAATACCAACAAGAATAACGCCAGTGAATCCGTCCCGGTATGGTCAGACTACAATGATGCCGTTTGGACACAATGAACAACGTAGAAGGATAAATAAATATAAAGAGAATAAATCCAGGGAGAAGTAGAGTCATTTCCTCATAGACGTCTATGGGAGCAGAGGAGTCGCCCCCTGCTGGTCACTACAGAGAAGTAGAGTCATTTCCTCATAGACGTCTATGGGAGCAGAGGAGTCGCCCCCTGCTGGTCACTACAGAGAAGTAGAGTCATTTCCTCATAGACGTCTATGGGAGCAGAGGAGTCGCCCCCTGCTGGTCACTACAGAGAAGTAGAGTCATTTCCTCATAGACGTCTATGGGAGCAGAGGAGTCGCCCCCTGCTGGTCACTACAGAGAAGTAGAGTCATTTCCTCATAGACGTCTATGGGAGCAGAGGAGTCGCCCCCTGCTGGTCACTACAGAGAAGTAGAGTCATTTCCTCATAGACGTCTATGGGAGCAGAGGAGTCGCCCCCTGCTGGTCACTACAGAGAAGTAGAGTCATTTCCTCATAGACGTCTATGGGAGCAGAGGAGTCGCCCCCTGCTGGTCACTACAGAGAAGTAGAGTCATTTCCTCATAGACGTCTATGGGAGCAGAGGAGTCGCCCCCTGCTGGTCACTACAGAGAAGTAGAGTCATTTCCTCATAGACGTCTATGGGAGCAGAGGAGTCGCCCCCTGCTGGTCACGCTTTGACTTTCACCAAGTCATCTCCAAGAAACGACTCACAAACGTTTTATATGTCGCCCAAAGTCCCATTTGATCGCTTCACGATCCGGGTCTCGTTGAGGCTCCGCCTCGTAGTCCGGATTCGGGGATTAATCAAGTTTGGAGCGCGACGATGCAGCAGAAGCACCTGCTGCCCTTTGCTCCGTCTGCTGCCGCTTTCTGGTTGCTATGCCAACCACAAGGGTTGCTCACGTCTGAGCATGCTCAGTGCGGCTTCCTTCTCCTCATAACAATAGCCAGAGCGAGGGCTCTCTCACACACACACACACTCACACACACTCACACACACAGCTTCAGACGGTAAGTACACAGACCTGCAGAAAAGCATTGATCTCCTTCATGTGAGTCTGTAGCTGCAGAACCAGAGGAAGCATGTGCTCTTTATTTATTTCTTTTATACAACACCATTGTTCCACTCCAGGTGTGTGTGTGTGTGTGTGTGTGTGTGTGCGTTGTTTTTATGAATGGTGCATTCTGCTCACTTGGATGTGTAGTAGTCGACAAAGCAGAGGAGTCGCTCAATAATTCATGTGGAGGGAAGTCAGCATGTGTAACGCGACGCTTTATTTCTTACCACGTCCTCCCTTATTTATACCTGCATTATTATTCTTTGTTCAGATCATGTGACTCTTAAACAGTAGATCCAGTTGTTATTATACTCATTATTATATTATCGCTGGATTCCTGCTGTTGTCTCTGCGTGTAAACTAGAGACGTAACCATGGCGATGGGGCTCTAATCAATTCGAGCATGTCATGTTTGAGTAAATAGTCAGAGACGTGTCAGTTATTCATCAACAAACAATAATCCCGCCAGACAACAAATTATTATCTCAGTATTAATCCGTCAAAGACTGTCAGACCTCTAGACCTGCAGGCTCCACTTGTAGGTCCTAGACTTGTAGGCTCTAGACTTGTAGGTCCTAGACTTGTAGGTCCTAGACTTGTAGGTTCTAGACTTGTAGGTCCTAGACTTGTAGGCTCTAGACTTGTAGGCTCTAGACTTGTAGGTCCTAGACTTGTAGGTCCAAGACTTGTAGGCTCTAGACCTGTAGGTTTTAGACTTGTGGGTTTTAGACTTGATGGCTCTAGACTTGTTGGTCCTTGACTTGTACGCTCTAGATTTGTAGGCTCTAGTCTTGTAGGCTCTAGATTTGTAGGCTCTAGACTTGTAGGCTCTAGACTTGTAGACTCTATCCTTGTAGGTTCTAGACTTGTAGGCTCTAGTTTGTAGGCTCTAGACTTGTAGGCTCTAGACTTGTAGGCTCTAGATTTGTAGGGTCTAGACTTGTAGGCTCTAGACTTGTAGGCTCTAGTTTGTAGGCTCTAGACTTGTAGGCTCTAGTCTTGTAGGCTCTAGATTTGTAGGGTCTAGACTTGTAGGCTCTAGACTTGTAGACTCTAGCCTTGTAGGTTCTAGACTTGTAGGCTCTAGACTTGTAGACTCTAGCCTTGTAGGTTCTAGACTTGTAGGCTCTAGACTTGTAGGCTCTATTCTTGTAGGCTCTAGACTTGTAGGTTCTATACTTGTAGGCTCTAGATTTGTAGGCTCTAGACTTGTAGGCTCTATATTTGTAGGTCTTGGACTTGTAGGTGTTAGATTTTTAGGTCCTAGACTTGTAGGCTCTAGACCTGTAGGCTCTAGACTTGTAGGCTCTATATTTGTAGGTCTTGGACTTGTAGGTGTTAGATTTTTAGGTCCTAGACTTGTAGGCTCTAGACCTGTAGGCTCCAGACTTGTAGGTCTTATACTTGTAGGCTCTAGACTTGTAGGCTCCAGACTTGTAGGTCTTATACTTGTAGGCTCTAGACAGAAGTGTAGACTCAGAACCAGTAGACTCTAGGCTTTTAGACTCTAGACTTGTATCCTCCTCTTCCCTGAAACCCTGTAAGTATTGATTCAGGTCCTCGGAGGCTTGTTATCATCAGACTGATATATTAATAATGTTAATATAAAATATTGATAAACGGATCTCGATGCTTCTTCCATCGGTCAAATAAATCTTAGTAGTTACGGGTGAAGAAGAGGTGAACTAGTGTGGACTTAAGAGGTCACATGAGGCTAATTCTCCGTAATCACTGAACCAGTCTGTCTTCCTTAAAAAGATGCTGGTGTTCTATTTGCTCCTTTGCTTTGAAGACAAAAGGAGAAGCAGTAATCTGCTCCAGTGTCAGAGGTCAGCTTCATTTTGACGTCTGGTGACCATGTTTTGAGGGAACAGAGCTCAGAGCCTTCATCAGGTCTCTTCCTCCTCTATATATATATATATATATATGTATATATATATATCATCATATATCTATCTATCTATCTAGCTTATATATATATATATATATACTGTATATATGTATGCGCTTCATTTCTTCACCTCATCAAATGTGTGAGGATCACAAACCATCACCTGGGGACTGTAATCAATCGGTACCACGGTTACATCTGGGTGTGTGTGTGTGTCTGTGCCCAGCAGAGTGTGTGTGTGTGTGTGTTATCCATCATAGCTTTTCGTGATGTCATTTGCGTTTTAGGTGTGACACACACACACACACACACACATTATCAGACCTGCGTCTCATGTGTGACAGCATGTTGCTAAAAGAAACTTAAACCGTAAATGACATCAAGAAAGCTATGATCTATACCTCTATCTCTATATAGATGTATCTATATAGAGATAGATATATATCTATATAGATATAGATACATGCTGTGACTGTCCTCGAGAGGAAAGAAGGACTCTTAGGAGAGAGGATGCAAGATGATGGAAGAATAAAACGATAAAACATTTTCACTTTTATCTTTACTGCCTCGTGTCACGTGACGGCCGCTTTGCATCAGTCGCTTCCTCCTCTCCTCTCTCCTTGCCTCCTCTCTCCTGGCTGAACGCTGCTCCTGGTAACAGCTGTTTGCTCTCCAGTCAGCGAGCTGACACCACAGAAGAAGAAGAAGGGTTTAGCTTGTTTGGTAGTTGTTATCTTTAACATTTAGCTTCCTAATGATGAAGATCTTCAGATGTCAGACTGGGTGATGGATTATGAGTTCTTCTGGACGACTTCTCCTCATTCAACGGTTCGTATGAAGCTTTGATCCAAACGTTAATCCTAGAAATCTATAAAATAAGAAAAAACAAGTTTCTTTGAATGTTTTCAGAAGATTCTGGAGGCAGAAAGTCCCTAGAACCTCAAATTATGCAAATGACCATCAGTCCGCTGAAGCATCTTCGCGACTGCTCCTCATGATGTCACAACGTCCCAGTTCATTTATCTGAGCTTGAGGATGAAGTTCTGTCATCCAGCTCACCTGGAGAAGAGGTGAATTGTGTTGATGCAAATGGAGAGATGGTGGATTCAAACCGCTGTGTGCTTCCTGCCTGCTGTGGATCCCCAGAGAGACCAGGAATCGAACCGCCAACCTCCACTAGTGCTGACTCCTCTGGTCTCTGTGGACCCCTTTGGTGATCCCATGAACACTCGTGAGGATGAATGAAAGGAAAGACAGAGTACTGAAGGAACGGCTCACTTCTGTAGTCCTGTGGTTCTGGTCCACTGGTTCTGGTCCTGTGGTTCTGGTCCTGTGGTCTGGCTCCACTGCTCCTCTGGTTCTGGCTCTGGTCATGTGGTATTCTGGTTGTGTGTTCTGGTGGTTCTGTGCGCACTCGGGGGAACTCTTTGGTTCCTATCGTCATGGCGATGTGGAAGCAGGATCTATTGATTACTGATCGACTGCAGCTCAGTCTCAGTGTTTGGTTGATGTTCTTCTTCTCGCTCTTTACTTGAAGCTGGAGGCCACCTGGAGACGACGACGAGAAGAAGAAGAAGAGGAACCTTTGGGATCCGATGACCTGCTGGAGGAGGGGCTTGATTAAGATGGGTGAGTTTAGGGGGGGGGGCACTGTGTAACTACACAATAAAAGCATCGCAGAGGGACAAAGACAAGAACCCTTTCTGAACGCTGAGAGGCTTTTGTGGCGACAATTCATCCAAAAAACCAGATGGCGACGGTCAAAATGCCAAACTTGAGGCTTCAAACATTATTTTATTGTGACAAGTTGCTCCTCGATGAAGAGAGCTGCGTATTCGCTCATCTCCTCTCGCAGCGAAACCATCTGAACCTGAAGAGCAGTAAATAACGGAGACGCGATCTGCCGTCTCTCCAGAAACCCCGAAGCTAGAAAGATGGTAGCCGACCCCTCTCACCCCGAACAAAACCCGTTTGTGTCCCTTCCGTCTTCCGACGCATTATTTGTTTTGCGAGGCTTCTCATCAGAGGAGAGAAGCTGATGCAGATTCTTCAGAGAATCATCCCACTGATCACTTCTAATTGCCGACTCTCCTCCACTTCTTCTGCATCAAGTGAAAACTGTGTGATTTCCTTCTCAATGGCCCAAAGGTCTCTGACTGAATTCTTTCATGAGAGATGTGATCACACATGTTCTCCCGTGTAAGCAGCGAGCTCTGCATTTGAACACGCGCATGTGATTTCGGTCAGCGTGGGGAAGTGCGCGCAGAGCCAGCGCACTTCGGAATGTAGAGTAGGTCCCGTATTCAGCATCAGTTATTATGAACCAGGCAAACAGGCTACTGTGGCCGCAGCCTGCGCCGAAAAACACTAGAACTCCAACGCTCCCGCGTTCCGTTACTCCAACCCGCCCCAAAGCATCACAACAACACATTCCCATAGGCCGCACTAAGATGATTGACATCACATCGCCCTTCACTGACCTTATAAACTCAGTAACTCACTCACAGAACATGTCAGTCCATTACAATATTTTTAGACTTTGATGCGGGCCAATTTTAAATGGATGGCGGCCCGCAGTTGGCCTGCGGGCCGTAGTTTGGACACCCCTGATCTAGCACCATCCACAAGGTTAGCATGTTAATGTTTATATTCCGATAATTTAAATCAAAGCTTTTTTGTTCAAAATGTACAGATTAAAGCTGCTTTAAGGCGGGGCTACAGGCTGATTGACAGGTCGCTAACAGACCATAAAGCAGGGGATGCTTTAAGGCGGGGCTACAGGCTGATTGACAGGTCGCTAACAGACCATAAAGCAGGGGATGCTTTAAGGCGGGGCTACAGGCTGATTGACAGGTCGCTAACAGACCATAAAGCAGGGGATGCTTTAAGGCGGGGCTACAGGCTGATTGACAGGTCGCTAACAGACCATAAAGCAGGGGATGCTTTAAGGCGGGGCTACAGGCTGATTGACAGGTCGCTAACAGACCATAAAGCAGGGGATGCTTTAAGGCGGGGCTACAGGCTGATTGACAGGTCGCTAACAGACCATAAAGCAGGGGATGCTTACTCCACACACAGTCTTCATGTTCCTGTTTCAGACATAATAACATGTGAACCTCTCTACAGGTGTGTGAGGGCCTTTGGCTCCGCCCACAGCCACACCAGATGTGAAGCCTCGTCCACCATGTGACTACCCCTCCCCCCTCCTCCTCTACCACCACCACCACCAACTACTTTCTGTAGACATGGAGCCCTTAATCTCCGACCCCCCGCTGTCCCCCGACACCCGACGGAGACCCGGCCTCCATCACTACCCGGGACTCAATGGGCCCCTCTACCCGCTCATGTCCAGGTGCAATAGCAGCACCCTGCTCACTAACCTGGGGCTGAGGTACTGCTCCGGCCGGCCGGGTCCTCTGGGTCCGGCTCCGGGCCCCTGCTGCTACGCGGGAGGCAAGCGGCCCTACAGGAGCATGGAGAACCTGAACTGGAATGCTGTGGCGGATTCTGGCCTGTGCAGGTTCAGCGGCGCCCCCTTCGGGAGCATGGACAGCGAGTTCATTCTCCACTACACCTCCAGCAGCCACTGGTACGATGGGCCCCCGGACGGGTCCATGACAGGGGCCCCCGGACCGGTCCCGGACGACGAGGGCCCGGCGTTTTACCCTCGACTTGCACCGCCCAGGAAGGACCTGCCGATCTTCCCTCAGCTGCTGTTTCCTGTTGGTGTCGACAACTGGGACGCCAGGAAGGGCCTGAGGGAGAAGCTCCGCCTCCACAGCGCCAGGTCGTCCGCAGAGCATCTGAAGCCCCTCCCACTGCGGCCTCCGGCGACCTCACCCGTGGCTTTAACCCCTGCCGCACCCAGGCCGCCACACTTGACGTGCCTCACCAGGGGGGAGCTCAAGCGGGAGGTCTTAAGGCGCCTGCAGCTCCGGCGGCAAAACAGCAGCCCCAACCTAGCCCTCCACAGCCCCCTAGCCGGCCCCGAGGTGGTGAAGACCTCCTACACAACAGACCACATTGCAGGGGGGAGGGCGGGTTCTCCGTCTGAGCCCCCCAGGCCTCTGACGGGGCGCCTCCACATCCCTACGTTTGAGGAGTTCAAGAGGATGAGGCAGATGGATGGTGGCCAGGACCCGGAGTCCACAGCCGGCTCCTTGAGATCTGGACCCTCAGACCGTGAGGCTCCTCCTCCCGGCGGAGGAGGCGGGATGAGGCCAGAGGACTCGAAGGAGGCGCGGGGTCCTGCCTCCGTGACCGCCCACACCCCCATCTGCACAAGCCCATCCCCCCGCTCGCCCCTGCAGACGCTGGCCTCCTCGGCCCCGGGGGGATCCCTCGCCGCAGGGAGAGCAGCAGAGCGGGAGTCCTCCTGCGGCAGCAGGAGAAGGAGGAGCAGCCTGGGACCTGCCGGGTCGGTGCCCTTCCCTCCCTGCAGGGAGAACCACGGCCGGCCCTCCAGCTGCTGCCCGGCTCTCCTCCTGGACGGGACGGACCTGTCCAGCTACGGAGCCAAGATCTACAAGATGAAGGAGGGGCTCATAGGCTCCGCCCTCGGCCTCATCAAGAAGAGGTGAGTCGGGGGGTCGGGGGGGTTTCTTGATTCCTTAGTGTCTTGATGATGACTAGGGTTGACACGATACCAACATTATGACTTCGATACTATACCTGCCAAAATATTACGGTACCCGATACTTACGATACGATACCACAAATAGGGAACTGGAATATTTATCTATGATAGTAATAAATAAAAAACTGTAAGTTTCCCTTTTTTACCTGGCATCTGTTTGACTGTCTGTGGGATAAACAAAGCTTCATTTACTTGCATATAGAGTTTGATATTCTCACATTCATATTTTCTTAACGAAAGATAAAAAGAGATCCCCCCTCAGGCTCCACCAGCATGTAGCCTGTTGCATCAAGTGTGTATTATTTGGTACACTTTTGTGTGCATTGTGACCTCATGATCATATCGGCCCACATGAGTGAGATTGTAGGTTATTTTGCATGTATATATTTCTGCTGGACTGTTCAGGAACTTCTTGCTTTGTCTTGTGTTACTTGATGTTTGACTGTTAGGAAAGTTGTTGTCAAGCTAGCCAACAAAGCTACAGGCTGCCAACTCTCACGGTTTCCCCGTGTGACATGCGTGTTTCCATGTTTTCACACGCACTCACCCCACACATCCAATTCATTACGCTAAAATCCCGCGCTGGTTCATCTCCAACCTCGCCGACGGTAAACGGCGCATCGGTAACCCGATTCGCTGCACGTAGCGTAACTTACACCCCCGTCGTCCGTAGCTTCACCCCCAACATCTCACTCCGTACCGATCACAATAGCATTAGAAAGAAGCCGACGCGAGAGCACTGAACACTAGCATTAATGTCCGAGCGCGTTATAGCAAGCTTGCTAACGAGATGTCTAGCGGCTAAACTAGCAACAATTTTCCAAACACAGTCAAACACAAGACAAAGCAGACGTTCTCTTTTACCCGGACGTTTCCCCTTTTCCAGACCTAAAAAATGCGTCCGGGTAAAAGAGGACATGTGGTCACCCGAGCTAAGCTAGGCTAAGGCTAATGTGTATACGGGTGAGCAGTCTGCTACGTGAGGGCGCGTCTCCCCCGATAACTCGCTGTGTGAGAGCTGCGCAGTCGATGTGTGCAGGCGGCCCGACACGGAGCGCTCAGTACCGGTACTACAAATATTCAAAACCCTAACGTGAGGGTACCGCGGTACCTTTCTAGTACCGGTACACCGTGCAACGCTAATGATGCCAGCGGCCACTACAGAGACGAGAAGGGAACCTCTGAAGACTATTTCACTCCCATGATGCTGTGCTGATCAGATCTTCTTTACTCATCTAATCTCTTCCGTCTCACTTTGTTTTAGCTGTTATTAAATCACTCAACACTCAAGTATAATTACAAATGTACACAGCAGAACGCCATTTTATGATTATTTGAATCACTTTTAATGCTAAAGAAGGAGAAGAAGCCATTTGTATTGCCACATATTGTTGTTACACATGCAGGAAATAGTTGTCTGCATTGAGGTCATCCCACTCAGTGGGAGCAGTTAGGTGCCTTGCTCAGGGACACCTCGACATGGAGCAGCCAGGGTTCAAACCGCCAACCCTGCGGTTCCCATTGCACCCTCTGTACACCGTCTGAAACAGAACCTTTAAAGAGCCACGAGTCAGTGGTCAGCTGACAGGAAGCCAACGCGGGACCAGGATGGACACGACAGGTTCATCTGGTTTTAACTGCTGACTGGAGGTTTAACAATTCATCAGTGTAATTATTTAATCATATGAGTCTGTGGTGACGGAATTTAAAGTTACTACGATGAAATGTCTCCTCCTACCAGGGACCCTGCAGGGAACCTCTCAGTCCTGGTCCTGGTTCTCCTGGGCCCCCAACCCTCCAGAGGGTCCAGATCTCAAACGTGTGTTTAGTGTCCGTTGACTCAACATTTCCTCGCGGTTGTTTCTGTCCATCGCGGATCGATGCAGCTGGACGTGATGCTGCGCGAAGCTCGACTGATCGACACGTGATGATTCTTCTGTTCAGTTTGAGGTTTTGATTTAAAATGCAGTGATGAATCACAGTCATCTTCATATTTTACCCCCTAGTAGTGCGAGTACTACTAATACTAGCAGTACTCGCTGTACTACGAGTACTCCTCTACTCGAGGTGTTTCTCAGGCTACAGGTACGAGTGGTGCGATTGTGCAAACGACACACACGTGTGTGTTTTTCTGTGTGTGTGTGTCTGTGTGTGTCTGTGCGTCTGTGTGTGTGTGTGTGTGTGTGTGAGCGTTTGTGTCTGTGTGTGTCTGTGTCTGTGTGTGTGTGTGTGTGTCTGTGTGCGTCTGTGTGTGCGTGTGTAAAGTGTGTGTGTGCGTCTGTGTGTGT